AAGGACTTGCTGGCTTCCAAGGGCAGAGTGAGGTAGGAGGGAAGGGGCACATGGGAATGGGGACTTGTTGGCTTCCAGGTGGCTGGGAGTGAAGCCAGGGGAAGGAAGGCCTATTCTTTCACGAATATCTTGCAACAGGCCTCTAGTATTGAGTATAAAAAGCAAGGCACAAAAGATTAAGACTAGCATAATACCATTTTTATAAAGCTGAGAAACAAGTAAAGCACTATACTGTTTGGGGATACATAGCTATAGGAGGGACCCCATCCTTACCTGGGTGAAAGTGGCAGAACAGACTACTAAACAGTGTAGAAGTCGTTGGAACAGTGTTGCTAATGTTCTAATCGTTAATTTTGGTGGTGAGTTCCAGGGTGTTTATTTCATTATTATGCCTTATAACTTAATATCTGTAACAGATCATCTTCTCATATTATGAAATCCCACAAAACTTGAAGCAAACCAACAAAGATTCTTGGTTTCTTTCTTTTTTTTTTTTAATTCCATAAAAATGGAATTTAAGAGTAGAGCGTTTTAATCTATGAAACCCTTTCTTACAAAGAAAAAAATAATGCTTTCATGAAAGTAGTTCTGGGAAAGGCCTAGAAGACACTGTGATTCAGGTTTAAAACTATGGCTGGTCTCATTCAGGAAGAAGTCCAGACCAACTGGAACATTAGTTGTTTAGCTTTTGGGAGTCATTGACCAGCTGCTTTGAAAGCTATTGGTCCTCTGCCCAGGAGACTTTTCATATGTGCAGAATTTCGCATTTAATTCCAGGAATGATAGTGAATCTGGTCTGGAAATAGGTTACTAAAGCCATCAAATACTTTCAGTTTTGGCGAGTTCACCTAGCTGTAAGATATTTGTAAGTGATATTGCCGGTCAGAGGGCAAAGCATTTTCGTTACAGGTGCTGCTTTGTTCCTTAAAATTTGCTTGCAAGTCAATAGAAATGTCATAAAGCTGGATTAGTAGAGGGAGATAATAATTTTAGTCCTTTTGGCTTTGTGTTGTGGAGCATGATAGAATTTTGGCAAATGGTTGTTAGGACTCTCTTTCAGGTTTTAAGTTTTTCTTTTGGCTACCTTTCCGGGGATCAAATTGAGGTGTGACCCACTTTTCCCTGGGTCAAAATAATCAGGGCACGGAGAAAAATAATCGTTTTAATTTTTTTGCAGGAAGCTTTGTAAGGTTTCCAAGTTGGCACAATCAACATCTCACATCTGAGTCATTTAAAAGCCATGAATTGAAATATAGGTATTTTAAAAATAAAATTTCTAAGTTGTGAAATGCGTCTTTAAATACTCGAGATCTCTCAGGTAAATCTGTCAGCTGAATTAGGAACACAGCGTGTCATTTGTTTACTGATACTTGATGATGTGAAGAGCCTATCATGTTTTCTTTATCTGGCATTTGACAGCTGTTAACTAGTGAAATGAGAGATTAGAGTCTGTGCAACTGAAAGCATACACTGGATCCCTTCAAACAAAACCATGTCACTGTCCCCATAAAATATTGAATTAGCCGATTGGCAAGATGTATATGTTGTGCTATTGAGTTATCTTTTCTTAGTGAAGAATATGTTATTTTAGAATTATAGTTTCTATTCACTACTAGAGGCCAGATGCATGAAAATTCATGCACTGGAGGGGGCAGGGAGTGTCCCTCAGCCCAGCCTGCCCGGTCTCACAGTCCTGGAATCCTCAGGGGTGGGAGGCGATCTGGCGATCAGGGGAAAGTGACGCTCCATCACAACTCTGCTGTTACCACTGCGGGCAGCGCAAACCTCAGCCGGCCCTGGTTACCTGAGCCTCTGGCTGGCCCTGGACAGCTGGGGGGCTGAGGGGACTGAGGGACTCCAAAGGCAGGCACCTGGAATGGCCTTGCTGCATGCCTGCCACCCTGGCGGAGCTGAGGGGACTGGGCGCTGCCATTTTGTGGCTGTGGGCACTGCCGTCTTTGAGGGCCGGGCAGTCAATTGACATATTCCCTCCTTATTGGCCATGGGTGCTGCTATCTTTGCGATGGTGTGAGGGTCAATTAGCCTGTTCCCTCTTTATTAGATAGGATTGTTCTGTGTCAGTTTCAGATGTACAGCATAGTGGTTGGATAATCATGTACTTTACAGAGGGGTCCCCTGAAATTTCAAGAACTGTCTGGCCCCATCCATACTTATTATGATACTAGAGGCTCGATGCATGAAATTTGTTCAAGAGTAGGCCTTCCTTCCCGCGGTTGCCAGCACCAGCTTCCCTCTGGCACCCGGGACCCAGGCTTCCCTCCAGCCACTGGCAGATGTGCTGCAATGAATATCCTGAGACTATTTGTGGTCTTTTGTGGTTTCATATAAATTTTTAGATTATTTGTTCTAGTTCTGTGAAATAACACTTGATATTTTGCTAGGAATTGCATTGAATGTAAAGATTTGGCAAGTATGGACATTTTAATTCTTCCTGTATGTGAACATGGTATATGCTTTCATTTATTTGTTTCCCTTTCAGTTTCCTTATTTAGTATTTTATAGTTTTTCCAATACTGTGTGTTTTTTTTTATCTCCTTGTTTAAATATATTCCAAGGTATTTTATTTTATTTTAATGCAATTGTAATTGAGATAATTGTTTTTTGTTTCCCTTTTGAATAGTTCATTGTTAGTATATAGAAATATAACTGCTTTCTTAATATTGATTTTGTGCCCTGCTAGATTACTGAATTCATTTATCAGATCCAGTAGTTGTTGTTTTTTTAAATATATATATTTTATTGACTTTTTTTTTAACATAGAGGAAGGGAGAGGGGTAGAGAGTTAGAAACATTGATGAGAGAGAAACATTGATTAGCTGCCTCCTGCACTCCCCCTACTGGGGATGTGCCTGCAACCAAGGTACATGCCCTTGACCAGAATCGAACCTGGGACCTTTCAGTCTTCAGGCCGACGCTCTATCCACTGAGCCAAAACGGTTTCTGCAGATCCAGTAGTTTTTTGTTGGAATCTTGCAAATATTGAAATATTGACAGCTCTTCTTCTTCTTCTTCTTCTTCTTCTTCTTCTTCTTCTTCTTCTCCTCCTCCTCCTCCTCCTCCTCCTCCTCCTCCTCCTCCTCCTCCTCCTCCTCCTTCTTCTTCCTCTCCTCCTCCTTCTCCCCCCCCCCTTCCTCCTCCTCCTCTAAAGCAGAAGAAGATCCAATCCCTCCTCTTCTATTTCTTGTCTGATTGCTGTGGCTAGGATTTCTGGTACTATGTTGAATAAGAGTGGTAAAAGTGAATATCCCTGTATTGTTCTGATCTTCGCAGAAATACTTTTATTTTCTGCCCATTCATTGATCTATGATGTTGGTTGTGAGTTTGACATATATCGCCTTTATTATGTTGAGGTATGTTCCTTTTAGTTCCACTTTGCTGAGAGTTTTTATCATAAAACGGTGCTGGATTTTGCCAAATGATTTTTTTCTGCATCTGTTGACATGATCATATTATTTTTATCTTTCATTTTGTTAATGTGGTATGTAATGTTAATTGATTTGGGGGTATTGTACCAACCTTGCATCCCAGGAATAGATCTCACTTGATTGTGGTGTATGAACTGTTTAATGTATTGTTGGACTCTGTTCACTCATGCTTTGTTGAGGATTTTTGCACCTAGGGTCACCAGGGATACTGGGCTATAAATTTCTTTCTTCACCTGGTTTTATAATCAGGAAAATACTGAGAGAAACATCAATACATAAAATGAGCTTAGAAGTCTTCTATCCTCAAACTGTTTAGAATAGTTGAGAAGGATAGGTGTTAATTCTTCTTTGAATGTTTGGTACAATTCACCCGTGAAACCATTCAGTACAGGATTTGAGTTTGCTGGGAGGTTATTTTATTTTATTTTATTTTATTACTGCTTCAATTTCATTAGTTGTAATCCATCTATTCAGATTTTCTGTTTCTTCTTGATTTGGTTTTGGCAGACGTATGTTTCTGTGAATTTATCCATTTATTCCAGACTGTCCAATGTCTTGGCACATAGTTGTTTGTAATATGTTCTTACAATCCTTTGTTCTTCTTTGGTGCCAGTTGTTACTTCTCCTCTTTCATTTCTGACTTTATTAATTGTGTCCTCTGTTTTTCTTGATGGGTCTGGTTAAAGGTTTGTCAGCCTTTTTTATCTTTTCAAAGAACCAGCTCTTGGTTTTATTGATCTTTTGTATTTTTTAAAGACTTTATTTTGTTTATTTCTGCTCTGATCATTATTATTTCCTTCCTTCCTTTTCTCTTTGTACTTTGCTTGTTGTTCTTTTTCAAGTTCCTGTAAGTGTAAAGTTAGGCTTGATGCTTTTCTTGTTTCTTTCACTAGGCCTAGAATGCTGTGAATTTCCTTCCTTGTTTTTATACCCAGGGATCTGAAAGTTAGGTTTGCAGTCTACATTTATTTCTTCTCCATGCGGGGATTACAAGTATCTACATGTTTATTACCTGTTAAAAATTTAGCATGTAGTATGGAAATCAAAATGGTTAGTTTTTTTCTATAAGTGAGACAGGCACAAATAAAGTATGACCAATGTTAGTTTAGATTTGGGAGAGGTCATGTTCTGTGGAAAAGAATTGGGAAAAGGTGCTTGGAAGAACATTTGAGATGGGATTTCAAAGGATACATTGATTTCAATAAAGGTTGAGATATTTAGTGCAATGTTTGCCCCATCTTAGGTCAAAGGTATCAGCGTAAACAGACATTCAGAGTAAGGACTGTGCATGGTGTCCTCATGAGGCAGTGAACAGTCCTGTGAGTAGGAAAATGGAAATGGTGTGTGTGTGGGGGGTGTATTGGGGTTATATTTGGAGAAGTAAATTGATGGTAAAGGCTGTGTTTGATGAGCCTTTAATTTAAATAAGGAATAGAAATCCATGGAAGATGTTTTACATGGGAGAGGGTAGTGGTAATGGTGGTAGGCTAACCAGCTGGATTATCTACTAACTGCATTTGTAAATTAATTGAATTCATGTTTTGTCACTTTTAGGAAGTTCACGATTTATTACAAGACTATGAGTTAAAGTACTGTTATGTGGACAGAAATAAGCGAACAGGTAAGATTTCACTTCTAAGCATCTAATTTTGTTTTGATCATACTTATAGTCCTTGTAAAATAAAAATGTGTAATGTCTTTTCATTCTTAAGTTAATCACTGAAATTCTTAAGCATTAAGTCATATAAATGTTACAATTAAATTATATTTTTCTAAAGAAAATATTAGTATCCTGAATTTTAATCATATAAATTAATATGGAGTTACTGGAACCTTATGACTTTTTATGATGACTGTTCTAATGTTATAGGTTTTTTTTTTTTTAAATCAATCTTTATTGTTCATATTATTACAAAGGTTCCTCAATTCCTCCCCCCTCTACCAGGTTCCGATCCCACCCTCCGCCTCCTCCCCACTCCCCATTGTCCTCATCCATAAGTGCACAGTTTATGTTCAGTCTCTTCCTGCATCCACCACTCCCCTTTTCCCCGAGAATTGTCCTCCTCTTTCTCCATTAAAATTAAGGTGTTAGCTTTAAAACCTCTATTTGGCAAGAGACTTAAATTTTCAGAACTTTAAATTTTTCAGGTAGTAAATCAATTACTTAGCATTTTCTCAAATCAATAATACTTCCACATGCCCAAGGATACCCTTCACACAAAAGACACTTCCAGATAGATCAACCAACCTCATCCAGACCCCACACACGGCACTCACAGATCAGCACCCCAGTGCTGCAATAACTCAACACATCCAGATCTAAGCCTTCATCACTTGATTCAGCAGACTCTAAAGTTCCCCCAAAAGTTTACAGCCATGTCTGAGAAGCAGTCCTGGGGCATGGGCAGGCGAGGAGTGAGCTGTTCCGGGCCCAGCTGCTCCGGGCCTGGCCTCTGTTGCTCCTGTCTGCGCCACAACCAGCAGCTCTGGGTCTGGCCGCTGCTGCTTGGGGCCCAGTTGCTGCTGCTCCGAGCCTGGCTGCTGCTGCTCTGGGCATGGCTGCTCCTGCTCTGGGCATGGCTGCTCCTGACCCGGCTGGTTTGGGCCTGGCCACTCCTGGCCTGGCCGCTCCCGGCCTGGCTGCTGCTGCTGCTCCAGGCCTGGCTGCTTCTGACCTGGTTGCTTTGGGCCTGGCTGCTCCGGGCCCGGCCGTTCCTGGCCTGGCTGCTGCTGCTCCGGGCCTGGCTGCTCCCCACCCGGCTGCTCTGGGCCTGGCTGCTTCAGGTCTGGCTGCTCCGGGCCTGGCTGCTGCTGCTCTGGTTCTGGCTGCTGCTGCTCCGGGGCCTGGCTGCTGCTGCTCCGCGCCTGGCTGCCACTGCCCTGTGCCTGGCCACTCTGGGCCTTTCCGCCGCTGCTCCAACATTGTCTTTTTTTTTTTTTTTTTTTTTTAAACGCGTTTATGTTGCAATGTTGGCTGCTGAGTAGAGTTTTGTCTTATTCTTTGATTTTTCAAGATCTTCTTTGTATTCTTTCTTAAGTAATTTTACTGTCTTTTGCTATAACTTTATTTCTTCACATTGAAAACTTCTTCGGTTTCTTCCTCCTCGTCCTGGAAGCTCAGCAGGCTGGCCTGCGGCGCCCCTTTGTTCTCCGTGGCCTCCTGCGCGACTTCAGCCGGTTGCCGGTGTCGGCGCCGCCCAGGAAGCAGCCCCCGGTCTTGGCTCCATGGCCCGCGATCAGCCGTCGAGGGCCCAGTGGCACCTCCCCCCTGGGGGCCCTGTTGGCCGGCTCCTTGCCAGCACCCAGCTGGCCAGTGTCCGGCGGCGACTCCTGCTTCTTATCTCGTTCTTCCCAGTCTGGAGCTTTTTTTCTCCTTCCCGCTAGGGGAGTTTAGCATCAGAGTCAACAGACTGTCCTCTGCATGCAATGTGCGCAACTCCAGGGGCTCTGCCTTTCGCCGCTCCCCTGGGATTCCGCCTCACAGTCCAGGCTCCCTCTGTTTAAGCCTGAGTCCCCAGGTTCTGGCCTAGAACTGGGGTTCAGAGCAGTCAGAACTGGGGCTCAGCACAGCCGGAGCTTTTGTTTCCTTCCCTCTAGGGCAATCTAGCATCAGAGTCAACATTATGTCCTCTGCGCACAATGTGCGCGACTCTGGGGGCTCTGTTTTTCGCTGCTCCCCTGGGATTCTGCTTCCCAGCCCTGACACGCTCTGTTTGAGCCTGGGTCCCCAGGATCTGGCCTAGAACTGGGGTTCAGCGTTGTTGGGTCTGGGGTTCAGCCCAGTGCGGGGCTTTATTAAACTGGACTTGTTGAATAAACTGTATGATTTGACCTTAGCTGGGCAAATTGGGAAATTTGCTTAACTTTTCTAGGTATTAGTTTTATATCTGTAATATTAAAAGACTGTACTAGATTAGTCCCATTATATGATATGTAAATGTCTAAAACATCTCCTTTTTTAGTTGATGAACAGTAAAGGAAATTATGGAGGATCACATAATCACTGTGTACACATCCATTCCCATATTAGCAAATGTCTATAAAAATATTTTTAAATGTTAAAAATTTTTGTCATATATATATCACCATTGACTATATATATATATATATATATATATATATATATATATTAGAACACTAATGTAGATCTATTGAATAAAAATCTCTGGTAGTACAGTCAGAATTCTGTGTTTTTTCCCCTGACTTTAAAAATTTGAAAATAGGAATATTATAGGTAAAAATGAAATCCAGTGTCTCCTTTTCTCTAATTCCATTCTTTCCCTCCCTTCTTCCCTGGGGGAGAAGCATTTATGAATTTGGTACATACTTTCTACACTTGGCTGTCATATTGTGGCAGTCATGAGAGCTGTTCACAGATCCTTAATCTTTTTCTTCTGGGCATGAGGTGAGATAGTTCTCTGTCTCAAGTGGACATGTGATTTGCTTCTGGGTGAATGAGCGTATGGAAATGAACATATCCCTTCTGGGTGGAAGGTTTTAGAGCCAGCCTGTGGTTCACTGCTCGCCCTCTCCCTGTAAGAGGCTGAGGAAGATTGCAGCACTTCTTCCAGCTCAGCTCCCAGGGTAACAATGAGGAGCAAACCCTCCTTCCTTCCAGGGTGGGATACGCAACAGCAACAACAACAAAACCCCTTTCATTTTGTTAAGCCATTGAGATTGTGGAGCTATTTGTTAACATAATACCGCGACTAATACCTGTAATTTTATAATATGTATAATTAATAGTGTTGTTCTCAGTGTTTTTAAAAACTTCACATAAATGGTTTTATATGTTTCATTTAGTTACTTGCTTTTTTAAAAAAAACAAAAAACAAAAACTCAACCTTGGTTTCGGATCTTTCTATGTTGATACATATAGTCCTAGTTCATTCATTTAAACTACTATATATTATTCTGTCTTGTGAATTTATCACCATTGATCAATCTATTCATTACTGGTAGCCATTTAGAAGCTTTAACTTTCCAGTATTTCAAATAATACTGCAATGAAAATCCTTATTTTTGTCTTCTAATATACATTGCAACTATTTCTCCACAAGTAAATTACTGGGCCATATGTTATGTACAATTCCATTGTTACTAAGTATTGACAAAAAAATTAGTGGTAACAGTCTTCACAGCTCACAAGGGCCAGGAATACTGCTATTCCCATCCTCATAATTCAAGGTGTATCAGGAGGAATATTCATAAGGGTCCTGTCTCAAGAGTCAAGAAAATCAACTCTAATCTTACCTAATAAAATTTAAAAGTGAGATCTGAAAAGATCAAACTATTTCCTAGTAACTCAGTCACCCCTAGAACAAAACTTAAGAATATTTATAGAAAGGCAAAAACATCCAGCACCCAACTAAGTAACCTTTATAGTGTCTGGCATGAAATAAAAAGTTAACAAACATAGCAAATGAGCAGGAAAATACAACCCAGAATAAGGACAAAAATCAATCAAAATGATAGAATTTAAACAAAAGAAATAATGAAAATGGAAAACAGTTTTTATAACAATGTTCTACCTGTACAAGAAATTATAGTAAAAATTGAATATATTTAGTGGAGATATGGAAAACATTGAAAAATACCAAGTCAGATTCCTAGAGATGAAAACTACAATGTTGGAGTTAAAAAAATACACACACACACACACACACACACACACACACATACAGTAGGTGGAATTAACAGCAGAAAAGATGTTGCAGAAGAAAAGATTACTGAATCTGAATTCATAGAGATAAGAACTCTCTAAACGAAAAAGAGAGCCAGAAGAAGGCTATAAAACATGAACCAAGTACCAGCGAGCTATTGGACAACTTCAAAAATCCTTAATAGTAGAGTGATTGAAGTCTCTGAAAGGGGATTTTTGTAGGAGGGTGCATCATATTTTTAACTTGAGTTACTGGTTATGATATTAGTTTAATGGGGGTGTCAGTATTAAAAAATACAATGAAATAGAAAATGTTTGAGTGCTTTGCATATGATCATAGTATTACCTCCTGATACTTTTGTTTTTGAAATATATATATGTATGTGTTTACTGAGTCACAAGCATAAAATGTATTTCTTATTGTTAGTCATAGTCACAAAAGTTTGAAAACACAAGCTTAGAAAACTCATTTATTTTATCTTCCAGCATTTGTTACCTTATTGAATGGGGAACAAGCCCAGAATGCAATTCGGATGTTTCATCAATATTCTTTTCGAGGAAAAGACCTGATAGTCCAGCTCCAGCCAACAGATGCTTTGCTGTGTATCACCAACTTGCCCACTTCTTTTACATTAGAAGAGTTTGAAGAACTTGTTCGTGCGTATGGAAACATTGAGAGGTGTTTTCTGGTCTACAGTGAAGTCACTGGCCATTCCAAAGGCTATGGATTCGTGGAATACATGAAAAAGGACTTTGCTGCAAAGGCTAGATTGGAGCTATTGGGCAAACAGTTGGGGGCATCAGCTCTCTTTGCACAATGGATGGATGTTAATCTATTAGCTGCAGAGCTCATTCATTCTAAGTGCCTTTGTATAGATAAACTCCCTCCTGACTACAGAGATTCCGAGGAGCTGTTGCAATTTTTCTCCGGTACCCATAAACCTGTGTTTTGCCAGGTATGTAGCCTTAAGATAACGTTAGAAATGTTTTTAAGTATCTGTTTTGTATCCACTCTGCATGCACTCACAAATTTATTATACCTATGTGAATATCACAATGGATAATCTAATTCTACTTTAGTCTATAATGAAGATTTTAATGTCATGGTAAATCTTAAATCAATTCCTTTGGTTGATGGGCAAACTATACTGTTATATAGCTAAGTATGTATTAGCAAATCCATCACTTACTCACCTCGTGTCATCCGTTCATTACACCATTCATCCATTGATTCATTCCTCCATCCAAATGGCACCTTCTCTATACCAGACACTATATTGCAAAATGTCAGTAATATAGATAATAGAAAGATATGCTTTCAATATCTCACAATTTTGTAGAAGAAACTGACAAGTAATCTAATCATTGAAGCTAGAAAAGTATAATGAGGTTTAAAGAGAACATATAATTTTGTCTTAATGGGGTCATTGTAAGTGAGCCATTTAGAAAAGATCCTGAAAACTGACAACTACTGGTAAAATTTTCAAGCTCCTTATCATAATAAAATTAAATATGTTAGACTAAGTAGAAAAAAATGTATGCTATATATAACTTCTTTCCTCACACATGTAAGATAGCAGCTGATGAACTTTTCCCTTCTTTTCTTATCCTCCCCTTTTTCTTTAGTCATGTATTTGTTGATTCTCTATAATTGCAGTAGGAAGTTTAAAGTCTGTTATTGTATAATCATATATATGCATAAAGGCGTCCTATCTAAAAAAGAGGGAATATGCTAATTGCCGCCACACCCTCACAAGATGGCAGTGCCTGCAGCCAATAGAGGGAATATGCTAATTGACTGCCATGCCCTCACAAAATGGTGGCGCCCATAGCCACAAGATGACAGTGTCCAGTCCCCTCAGCCCCATTGGGTGACAGCAGACGCCATGCGCCTCATCCAGCCAGTCCCCCAGTCCCCTCACCCTGCTCATCCAGCCTCAGCTCCCCAGTCCCCTCAGTCCTGCCTCATCTAGCTTCAGTACCTTAGTCCCTTCAGCCCCACCTTATCCAGCTGGAGTCCCCCAGACCCCTCAGCCCTGCAGGGGAAGGCAGTTGGGGGTGATCGGGCTGGTAGGGGAGGGCAGTTGGGGATGATCATGCCAGCAGGGGAGCAGTTAGACATCAATCAGGCCGGCAGGGGAAAGGTTAGGGGGCTATCAGGCAGGCAGGCGAGTGGTTAGGAGCCAGCAGTCCCAGATTGTGAGAGGGATGTCTGACTGTAGTCCCAGATTGAGAAGGTGCAGGCTGGGCTGAGGGACACCCCCCTTCTGTACATGAATTTTGTGCACCGGGCCTCTAGTATATACATAATGCATGTGTGTGTGTGTGTGTGTGTGTGTGTGTGTGTGTGTGTGTATACACACACACATATATATATACATATACACACACACACAAACACAAATATATGATTCATACTACCATCCTACTTAAATTTCTAATCCCCCAATCCCAATATAATAAATAGCAAAGAAAGCACCCCAAGAGCTTTATAAAATTTTGTGACAAAATTTTAATTAAATCTCTGACCAGTTATGAAAAGTTACTAATCTTGATACTAAGAATTGTATAGTAATATCCTGTGGCCATACATAATTCTTTGTAGCTTAAGTTGAGGTCTTTTATACAACGAGAGGGGGAAAAGTCATTTATCACAAAATGCATTTGAGTTACGAATCCCAAAGTCAGAATGACCTGAGAAGTTATCTGGTCTAGCTTGCCATCTTGTAGAAAAACATTTGTTATAATATTTGTGCATGACCACTTAGCTTCTGTTAAAATGTTTCAAGATAATGGAAAATTAACTAGATCACAAGTCAGACCATTTGTACATTTGAGTGGCTCTCCTATTAAACTGAAATATTCTCCTCTAAAATCACCTATGCCCTGGACAAATTACCTATGCCCTGAAATATTCTCCTCCAAAATTACCATTTTGTCTTTGGAAAGATTTAAAATGGAATAATTTGTGTAGGCATGACGGTTATCATAATAAACCAGGAATAGTCCAAAATGTTTTTAAAGTTTTCAAGAGATTAATAAAAACAACTTTATGATGCTTTTATCAGTGGATCTGTTCAATTCAAGCTCCTTTAGTGGTAGGTTGACACGGACTATATTGAAGACACAGTCTCTTACCTTGTAATCAAAAGAAAACAAAGAGACTAATGGCTTTTACAGATCTGATTTTGAGATCTGGTTTGGATTGTAAGAGGAATGGGGTGGTAGGAGAAATGTTTGGAAGAGGTAGACTTTTTTCCCTTCCTCCCATGAGACTAGGAAACATTTTTACAGAGAAGAAAACATAAGTGGACAATTTTAAAAGGAAGGAAGAGCCCTGGCCAGTATTGCTTGCTCAGTTGTTAGTGTTGGCCTGAGCACCGATGGGTTGTGGATTTGATTTCCAGTCAAGGGCACATACCTGGGTTGTAGCAATGATCCTGGCCCTGGTCTTGGTATGTTCAGGAGGCAACCAATCACTGTATCTCTCTCACATTGATGGTTCCCTCTCTCTCCCCTTCTCTCTTCCTCCCTCCTTTCCTCCATTTCTCCCTCCCTCTTTCTCTGTCTCTTTCTTTCTCTCCTCCCTTTCTGCCCCCACCCCCCGTCTCCCTTCTACTCTCTAAAAATCAATGGGGAAAAAATTAAAAAGGGAGAATATGAAGGAAAAATAAAAATTGTGTGTACTATGCAAGAAAGTAGAAGTTAAGCTTCAAAAATAAAGAGAAAAGAAACTAAAAATCATTTAATTGCGATATGAACTTATGAGGTGCCAAATCCACATAAAAGTGTGGTTCACATGTCTTCTCAAAGACACACCCAGCCGAATTAAAGCTCATTGATTACTTTCTCTTGTGAATGTGAAGATAATTCAGAAAATTTAAAACTTATAAACTTTTTAGTGTTGTATTTTGCTCTTATTTTTGCTCTTTGTACTAGTCTTTACAGATCCAGGACTTTAGTTTCTTCCTTTACACTCTTACAGGTGGGTGACTGGAAACAAATTAAGTTCTGCATTTTAGGAGTCTTAGGGCCCACTCAGAAGTAAAGATTATATGTTGCATATGTTACTTTTAATAAATCTGGGGCACAGTTTTTGCAAATAAAATTTGTTTTGGTATACTTGACCAAATTTCTGGGATTTGCCTAAAATATTGATATAAAAGTTGAGTGTGGTTCCTCCTACTTTTCTTCTCTTGGTGGTACAAACTTTATTTTACATAGCTATGTAGTTCAGTAATTGTTTTAATATGTTTCATTATTTATGTATCTGGTGAACTTATTTAAAGGAGGTTTATAGTATTGTGTCCTCATGTTTTCTTATAAGTTATCAGTCGTATACATTTCTTAATATATAGGGAATATTATCATTTGGACTTTGACTTGTAAAATAAATTAGAAATTGAAAGAATTCAAAAGAAGTGACAGAATCTTGTTTATTATCCTATCTTCCAGAAGTATTGCATCTAATCAACTAGTAATTTTTTTTTTTTTTTTGCAAGAACACATTTTCTCACCAGTATCATGCTCTGGCACATTGGTTCTTGAATTTGAAAGTTATATCCTGTAAAGAACGATTTCTAACTAACTGATAGAATTACCTTCTAATAAAATGTGTTGCGTCAGCTTGCACAGGATGAAGGTAGTTACGTGGGCGGCTTTGCAGTGGTGGAATATAACACTGCGGAGCACGCCGAGGAGGTTCAGCAAGCCGCCCACGGCATGACCATCAAGGGGAGCAAAGTGCAAGTTTCCTTCTGCGCCCCCGGAGCCCCGGGGCGGAGTACGCTAGCCGCCTTGATAGCAGCTCAGCGCGTGGTAAGTTTGTCGTTCTTTATTAACACAATAGCAGTTTCAACATTTTTTAAATCTGTCCAAACTACCACTGATTGGACCTTTATTATCTTTCTACTATATAAAGATATTCCTTTTTAAAAAGTGGTGAATGGAATCTGTGTAATCAAGCCAAGCGTCATTACAAAAGAAGTTGTTTTGTCAAGTGTACTCATCTTAGGACTTTTTTTAAGGCATATAATTCATTCAGCAAATATTGTGAGTTCCTGTTCTGCTCCAAATTTTCAGTATAACGTGCCTCTTTTTCCCCCCCAAAGTGTTCAGAGTACAAAGAGTAGAAGATGTGTGCTTCCGGTGTGCTCACACAGCACATTGTAGCTATAATACCTCTATTGTAACTGTCTCCTTATATATACATAGATAGTTGTTGATTTTTCTTTCTCCTTATTTTGTCAGTCATTGTTCCATACATTTGTTTTGTTTTGTTTTGTTTTTTGGACCTGGTTTTTGTATGCAAGATTGAAATTAACATGTTAAACACCAAGCCTGTTTTGTCTTCCTTTCCATTTCAGACACCGGTGACGGACATGGTGCTTAACGTGTTAATGATGATATTGCATACCGTACCTTAATTTCCATCCATTTTGCAATATCGCCTTGTGTTTATTGCTTCTCAGTTTTCATGTTCAGAGAATAAAACTTCTGAAAATTTGTGTGGCTGTGAATATTCTTATTTTTTCACATATTTAAGAAAGAAATAACTCAGCTGGATATAAAAATATAGATTTAAATTTCTTTTCCTGAAGCACTTTGAAAATATTAAGTTGTTGCCTTCTTGAATCCAGGGCTATTGCTTGGAGAGAGAAGATACTAATCTACTTCTTGTTTCTTAGAAATATGTCTTTCTTACAGAAAGCTTTTAGCATTTTTTTTGGACTTTAATGTTTTTAAGTTTTACATAAAAAAGTGTGACTAGATGTGTTTTCTTCTTATATATCATACCAGAGGCTCGATGCATGAAATCTGTGCACTGATAGGGTCCCTAGTGGCTGCCAGCTGCCGGCTGGGCCTCTCTCCCTCACCCTGGCTGGCCCTGCCCCCTGGCTGAACTCCTGGACAAACTCCTCATCGAGGGGACAGTTTGCAAACTGCACGTTTATTATATAGGATTTGGATATTATATAGGATATGTGCACCTCCTTTCATCTGTGATCTTTAATTTTTTTTAATGGGAAATTTTCAGCCATTATATTTTCAAAGATTTCCTTCTTTGTTGTCTCCTTCAGAGATTTCTGTTTTATGTAGGTGGGCACTTCCAGCCTCTTCACTGACTTGTGTTTTTTGCTTTTGTTTCCATTTTCCATTCCCATGGTTTGTCTTACTTGTTTGCATTTTTCCCCTTTTTTATTCTTTGCTGATGTCTTTGGAAACATTCTTTGAACTGATCTTTCAGGTCACTGTTTTGTTTTATAGTCACATGTATTCTATTTAACCTATTTACCTATCTATTACAGCACAGGATAGAGGTTAAGGATAATGCTTTATGAGTTTCTTTGTTATCCTCATCTATATAATAGGGTTTGTAATGCCAACCCTGTAGAATTGTTTAGCAAGATTTAGTGATATAATCCATGTAAAATACTTAGAATAATGACACGTATATAGTAAGCGAGGGCTGCTTTTTTTTTTTTTTTTTACAGTCCTGTTTTCATACCCAGTATTTCTTATTGGTTATTCTTTGTAACTGTTTGTCCCTGCTTCATGTTGCCAATTAAAATCTGTTATGCTTTTAAGTGTTTGAAGAGGGATTCCAGCTGTCAGTGTCATTCTCTATTTTCTGATGGCTAACAATTTTCCTTTTGTAACAAAATACCAATAAAGATATCTGGCTGGCTTTTAAAACCAAGAACAATTGCATGTTATTAGGAAGCCACCCAATTACATATATGTAAGGCCATCCCATCTTTTTTTTCTCTTATTAGAGGATTAAATAAGGAAATCAAGACCTTTATTATAAGAAATGTTGTTATGTAAAGTAACCCACATTATTACACTTTTGATCAACATTATAGTGAAGCTCTTCTGTGGTATCAAAACATCCATATTTTGTCAACAAGTTATCTTCCTGTTATAAATTCAGATCTCTAAATAAATAAATTAATTAATTAATTAATTAATTAAAATAAATAAATAAATTCAGATCTCCTTGGCATCCTTCTACTTTTAAAGAGATTTATCTTACTAAATGGTTGATCTTCTTAAAGCTAATTTGTATTTAACTGAGTCATTCCGTGAGGATGTTGGTATGAGCTGTGTAGTAGAGTCTAACATAATTACGGACTGTGGTTGAATGTATACAACAAATGTATAATACAAAGCAAGTTGTGCTTATCACAAAATAAATCTTATCAGATGAATGAGAATTTCTGGAAGAAGGCCTTTAAACTGTCACCTTTTTTACTTATCCTTGTTCTGATGTTTCCTATTTCTGTATTCATTGAAGATGCACAGTAATCAGAAGGGCTTACTCCCAGAGCCAAATCCTGTACAGATTATGAAGAGTTTAAACAATCCTGCCATGTTACAGGTTCTTCTCCAACCCCAGCTCTGCGGGCGAGCTGTTAAACCAGGTAAGCACCTTTTGCTGATTAAGCTAGAATGAGCCGAAACTGGTTTGGCTCAATGGATAGAGCGTCGGCTTGGGGACTGAAGGGTCCCGGGTTTGATTCTGGTCAAGGGCATGTACCTTGGTTGCGGGCACATCCCCAGTAGGAGGTGTGCAAGAGGCAGCTGATCGATGACTCTCTCATCGATGTTTCTAACTCTCTATCCCTCTCCCTTCCTCTCTGTAAAAAATCAATAAAATATATATTTTTTAAAAAGCTAGAATGATGGCACGAAGTTAATTGTGCTGTTTTACATGGAAAAACACATTTAAATTACTCCAGAAATAATTAATTTTCTAGGACTTTTCAAAGAATTTTAATTAATGATCTGAGGTGATACTATGTTTTGGCTCTTTTTGGTGGGTACAATCTGCTTATGTGTTCCTAATTTCTTTTAACCATTAACAAATGTTAAAGATTAAATCTTCAGTTTAGCTCCCAGTTGACATGAATTTATAGACCGGATATTAATATACTACATTGTTAGCAACTATATCAATAAAGGATATGATAATCTTTGTAATATTTCTAGCAGAATTACTTTATTGAGAAGTATTAAAGGTCTGTTTCTTCTTTGTGCTTTGTTTTTGTGAAACTTTCATTTTGTAGAAAATGACAAAAAACATTATTTTCTAAGCAATATGGAAATCTTAAATTATTATCATACACACGGAATATTTACTAGTACTTATTTAGTATTCTTTCTCTGATAAGAGTTTGCTTACCTTCTGAAATGAACAACTACATACACAAATGTGTATTTGAGCAGTTTGAGGGAGTAAATTCCTATATCCAACACTAATTTTTAGAGTAAAATATTTAGAGTAAATATGTTTATTCAGTTTTAACCCTTCACTGGTCTTACACCAACTAGTGGACTGCAATTCATTTCTAGCACTAACTACCCAGAGTTCACCTAAACCCTGTAAGTTAAGGGCTTTATCCTCAAAACATCTGCCCGAAACTTCACATTCCAGCCACAACTTCAGGGGGTCCCCAGGCTCTGCACTTCTGACCAAGTGACTACATATTTGGGTGTTCCTATGACCCCTCAGGTTTGATAAATTGCTAGAACAACTCACAGAACTTATGATTACAGTTTTGTTATCAAGGATGCAACTCAGGAACAGCCAGATGAAGAGATACCTAGGACTAGGTCTGGGAAGGTCTTGAATACAGCTTTCATGGAATCAGGGCACATTACTCCCCCAGCACTTCAGTCTGTTCACCAACCAGGGATCTCTACTGAACTAAATCTGATGTCCAGGGTTTATATTGGGGTCTCATTTGTAGGTATGATATTTGGCTACCTTATTGAACTCAATCCTCTCTGGAGGTCAGGAGGTCTGGCTGATATCACATGGGTAAAGACCCAGACCTCTCATCACTGGTTGGTCTTCGGTATGACCAGTCCCTATTCTGAAACTATTTAGACGCCCACCTAGAATCACCTCATTAGCATAACACAGATACTCTTGTCACTGGGAACATTCCAAAGATTGAATTTTTCTCTCAAGAACCAGGCATGAGGACCAGTTATTCTTCATTATACAAAAACTAGTGGTCCCTCAGCCCAGCCTGCACCCTCTCCAATCTGGGACCCCTCAGAGGATTCCCCCCTGTGGGATTTCGCCTAAACCAACAGTCAGACGTGCTTTTGCAATCTGGACTGCTGGCTCCTAACCGCTTACCTACCTACCTGCCTGCCTGATCACCCCTAACCACTCTGCCTGCCGGCCTGATCGCCCCCAATTGTACCACCATTCTAGCCTGATCACACCAGCCTGCTTGCCCCCAACTGCTCCCCTGCTGGCCTGATCGCCTCCAGCTGCACCCCCTACTGGCCTGATAACCTCCAACTGCCCTCCCCTCCTGGCCTGGTCATCCCTAACTGCCTCTGCCTCGGCCCCGCCACCATGGCTTTGTCTGGAAGGACATCCAGAAGGTCTCCTGGCCTAATTAGCGTATTCCTTTTTATTAGTATAGATATTCGTGTTAAGTACTTCATATTCTCATCAACTGTATATAAAACTGTAAGCAGCAGCTTTAGAGGTTTTCTGGCTCCATCTATGATGCAGTCTTCTGCAATTTTAATGGTATAGAGATACCCTTGTTATGTCTTGGCTAATTGAAGCCTAAGAAGCTCACTATTTCCCAAGGCAGTCTATTCCCTGGTTTGACAAATTTAATTACTAGAAAGTTTTTTGGTGTTTTTTTTTTTATATTAGATAGTAAATCCCACATCCTTTAGTCACTTATTCTATTTTTCCCTGTGAAGAGACACAGAATAAATCCATTTTTTCCATAAGATAAGCCTTCTAATATTTGAAGACAAGTAACAGGAAATCTTAGTCACCTTTGTTTTTTCCTGTCTTCTATTCTCCAGACCAATGGTCTTCTTTTATATATTTACTTTTGGATTATGGACCCCTATCAGTGAAATAAATTTTGAACAGAGCCCCAATATATACAGTATATATATCACATACATGTCAAATATAGAAATGCACTCTTGTCAACCCATACAGAAAGACATCTTAAACTTAATTTAATTTTTAAGAAGAAATTATAAGTAATGGTTCTAGTTTTTTTTTACACCTCTTATACCTCTTTGGAGACTACAATTCTATATTTGACCTTCCACAACATGTCAGGGTATGCTCTCTAGATGCTCTCTGCAAGTACCCTGTTTCCCCAAAAATAAGACAGTGTCTTATATTAATTTTTGCTCCCAAAGATGCGCTAGGTCTTATTTTCAGGGGATGTCTTATTTTTCCATGAAGAAGAATACGGTACACATTTATTGTTAAATGAAAATAAAGGAAATTTATTACCTGTATATGGTACGGTAGTACGGTAGTTGTCAACACAAACCAGACAAACTGAATCCTACAGTATCAAGAATTTACTCATTTATTCAATGACAAATCATGTCATCATCTTCTGGAACATCATCATAACAATCCAATTCCTGAGTTTCCTGGTGAATTTCTTGTGACTCCATTTCTTTCAGAATCAGTGGACCAAATCTCTCATGTTTAGCAATAGCATTTTGAGACAGAGCCTAGGGGGGCCTTATTTTTTGGGGATGCCTTATATTTCACTCAGAAGGAAACCTGTAAGCAGGTCTTATTTTCAGAGGATGTCTTATTTTTGGGGAAACATGGTAGGTAAAGCCCCGAGTTTCTGGGTTGTCCTGAAATCTGGTGTTCACAGACATGGACCTGTCCTATAATGAGATCTGATCAGCACAAATGGCATTGAATTTCTATTATTGCATTTCGAGATTATATTAGTGTTCAAAGAAGTATGTCACCCTTTTAGAAAGTGTTGTTCACACCTTTGGACTCTGGACTATTTTTAGTAACTCCTCTCCAACATTATTTTGTTTTTGTTTTTAATCTAAGACTATATATTCTCTACTCTCCTTTCTTCTCACATGGATATATGGGCATATGAGATTATGCTTCTTTATTTTAGCTGTACTTTCTAAGATATTTTAACATTACAATGATAAAGAAATTATTTCACCAAGCATGGTGAAATAATTCTTTGTGTAGAGTGGCAAGGGAAGATGATTAAATGTACCTCACTTAAAAACATTGCCAGACTAATGGAGAATGTATGAAAAGCTTCTTAGTATTCAGGAAAGATAAAGCATCTTGTATCAGTGTATTATATTTTTCTTTTACAGTTGGTACTTCTTGTGTCATTTTTAATAAATCTGCCAAATTCAAGGTCCGTGTTTTTCTCAAGAAGGTCTATAATTTTACCTCTTACCTTTAGATCTATTATCCATTTTGAGTTAATTTTTGCTTATGGTGTGAGGTAAGAGTACACGTTAATTTTCTTTACAGTTGTTCAACATCATTTGTTTAAAAAGATTATCCTTTTCCACTGAAATTTTTTATACCTTTTTCAAAAATCAATTGGCTCTGAACTGTGTCTCTTCTTCTGGACTCTGTATTATATTGCATTGACCTAAATGTCTTCTTTATACCGATAGTACTTTGTCTTGATAAGTGTAACTTTATAACAAGCCTCAAAATCAGTTAAAGTACGTCCTCCAACTTTATTCTTCTTTTTCCATTTCTTTTGTCTAATTGAGATTCTTTGCAGTTACATATACATTTTATAACCAGCCTCTCAATTTCTAAGAACAATTATCTGCTGGAATTTGATTGATACTGAGTTGAATGGGCAGAATTGACAAATTTGAAGCCAAGCCATAAATATGGTGTATACATATATCTGAATTTATTTAGCTCTTTTTCATTTCTCTCAAATATTTTTTTTTTCAGGGTACAAATCTCACACTTATTTTGTCAGATTTTTCCATAGGATTTTATATTTTTTCTATGATTTTAAATAAGATTGCTTTTTAAACTTAAATTTCCTATTGCTTGTTGCTAGCATATGCAAGTTCAGTTGAGTTTGTTTATTTATCTTGTATCTTGCAACCTTATTATTTCTAGTATGTTTTTTTCTAAGGATTTTCTATATAGACAATCATGTCATCTACAGATTAACATAGTTTTACTTCTTCATTTCTAATATCTACACCTTTTATTTTTTTCCCCTTGTTTTAATGGAATAGGTAGAAATTTCAGCATAATTTGTGCATTCAACTGGTGAGAGTGGACATTCTTGTCTTGTTCCTCATCTTACAAAGAAAGCATTCTTGTTTTATTATTAGGTATTATGTAAGCTATTGTGTGTGTGTTTCCCCACAGGTTTTGTTTTCCAAGCTGAAAACTGTCTTTTATTCCTATGTTGCTGAGAAATTAGATCATGATAATTGCTGGAATTTACTCATTTCTTTTTTCTGCTAGTTGAAATGATGTCTAGGGTTGAGTTTTGTTGTTGTTGTTGTAAATTGACATGATGAATTACATTAACTGATTTTTTAATATTAAACCAACCTTTCCTTCCTACAGTGAACCTCACTTGGTCATGTTGTGTTATAATCCTTTGTGCATATTGTTGGTGGAGGGTGGGCTGCCCTCTACATGGGGGAAGGGAGGGTTGTTAAGCTATAGCTTCCTGGTAAAGCAAACAGGCTCAGTGTCTCAGCCCATTAGGTTTAGCAATGTCCAATCCCTCTTGCTTTATTCTTATTAATATTTAGCTAGCTGTGGTAACAATCGTGCTGCTCAGATCTCTTATATCTTTACTAATTTTCTGTTAACTTATTCTATGAGGGAAGGATGGAACATAGTGGGAGGCCTAGCCAATAGTTTAGGGTAAAAGCAACTAGATGCGAGATTGTGGACATTTTCAGTGTTTTGATTCTAGTTCTTGTTTTAAACTGAGAAATACTGTTTTCACTAAAAGCTGTGAAATATATTTTACTGTCTTATAACAAAATACAGTGACTCTCTGAAAAAAAGGAAGTAGTTTTTAATTTCTAACTATAATTGTGGTATTGTCTACTTTTCCTGTTCTAGAATTTTTTGCTTTATATATTTTGAACCTTTGATATATGGTGTAGAGATATTTAAGCCTGTTTCATCCTCTGAATGAACTGACTTCTTTATCTTCTTCATTTTTTATCCATCTTTCCTAATAAACAGTGTCTTTCCTTCAGCAACTCATCCTAATGATCTAACCTTCCCACCGCCTATATTGAAACTAGCTCATTCTAAAGAAAGCATTTCTAAGGGTCATTTTTTTCAAAAATGTAATGGGCTGCCTCTGCAAGTAATGAAATTTTGGAACGGTTTTTAAAGCAAGGGATGAACTTGTAGAGATGTTATATATGAAAGTTCCAAATGTTTTTTGTGATTGGATTATATGCTTTTCGGAGTGCTTTTTACATCTGACCTCCACTGGTTCTAATTGTTGTATTGCTAGAGAAATGTATATTATGACTATTCCCAGTTGCTTTATAATAATAATATGAAATTGCTTCATTTATGTTGTTTATTGTGAAAAACATCTCCTGTTGTGTACTCTTGCATTTGTGTTTTAGACAAATTTGATAGAGTATGGTTACCATTTATTTCTTTCATCACTGTGCACAGTACTTTTGTTTCTTTTGACTTTATTATGTAAATATTTTTCAGTATATATATTTTCTTCACAATTGTCCTGTATAGTTTTCAAAGACAGGTTTGTATTAAGTCCTTTCCTCCCACTCCTTGCCAAAATATCCCCAAACCTAACAAAAACACTGACCAAATAGCATGGATTCAACTAGTAGTATACCTGTTAAAAGATGGAATTGGTTTTGTTGCACTAAAGCACTAGAGAAGAGAAAGGGTAGGTTTGGTGATTTACCATTATGACATAAGGTGTGCAAATTCTAAATATCACATGGAAGAATCCTGTCCTTTCTGTGCAATCACAAGGTCAGTATATAAGTGAACTTCAATTAATGTGTCAAAAGTTTAAAGAAATATTCATTTATCCTTTTTGAAGTTTGTTTTATTTATTTTTAAATTCCATATATATCATAAAGTTAAATTTTTATTTTTATTTTCTTAAAGCAGTTCTTGGAACACCTCACAGCTTGCCACATCTGATGAATCCATCCATCTCCCCTGCATTTTTACATTTGACTAAAGCACATCAGGTATATAAACGGCATTGAATATTGAAACATCAAAAATTTGTAGTGAATATTTTGTTTGTTCTTAACAAAGTTCTCAAGTTAAATAAGTATTTTAAAAAATACTTAAAGTATAGGTACGTAAAAACATAATTTAGTCATGGCCGGTGCTGGTTAGTGGTTAAAATGTTGGCCCATGCACTGAAGGGTTGAGGGTTCAAATCCCAGTCAAGGGCACATACCTGGGTTGTAAGTTCCCTCCCTGCCCCCCAGTCAAGCAACCAGTTGATGTTTCTCTCTCACACTTCCTCACTCCCTTTCTTCCCTCTTTGCATCCCTTCTTTCCATTGTCTCTGAAAAACAATAGAAAAAATATTCTCGGGTGAGGATTAAAACAATAAATACAAAAACATAATGAGACCATCAGATCAAATTAAGCTAATCAAAGCAGCATAGTTATATATTTATGGATTTCTATTTTTAAGGCATTAAGAAAGGAAGGGTATTATTTTGTGCAGTATATTTTTCTAAATGTACTAAATCAGTACAGTCATTCATTTATTAACAATAGGGGGATATGTTCCAAGAAATGCATAGTTGGGCGATTTTATTATGTATGAACTCACCTGTGTTGGTACACCTGTATCGGGCTTTTTAAGGGAAAGGCCTACCTTTTATGTTTTATTCTTAGAATCTAACCTAGGACCTTGTACATTATAGGGCCTTTGTTCATTAATTTACTCAACGTGTTTTAATGAGAATTTCACATGTACTGGATTCTCTGCTGACCATTGAGGCTATAGCATTGAACGCACGGTCATTGCCCCTAATTTTACAAAATAGAGAAAAAAAAAACTTAAATAACTTATTATAATAAGGTGTGAAGACTGATACAAGAAGGGTATTCAGAGAATAGACAATATTCTCTTTATTTTAGAATAAACATCAAAATGCTTGATTTTGCCTTGAAGTCCTGTCCAAGCTGGGCTCACCTGCCTGCCATGCTTAGGGCATCGCTGTCTCAGCTACAGTGGCTGCTGTGGTCCTCAGAGGGCCCTGTTCCCTCTCCCGAGGTCTTTGCTCCTGCTGTTCCTTCTGCCTGGAATGCTCGCCACTGCAGCATCACACTTAGATTTCGCCTAGTTATTCCCCGCGGCCTTCCAATCTCTGTGCCATAGTTCCTCAGGAAAACCTTTGAATTTAACAATCTCACTCAATTCCCTCACTGTCTGTTCTCACAACTCCCTGTATTTTCTCTTCATGTGCCCATTACCATTTGTATTTATGTTTTTATAATTAGTTAATGCCTTATGTCTTCAGGGAACAATTAGATCCATGAGGGCAGATCGTAGTGTTGTATTTCTCACCATGGAGCACAGTGACTGACACGTAGGACGTGCTCAGTAATACGCCTTTGTTGGATGATTAAATTACTAAATAAATGATTGAATGATGCTGACATTAAAGTCACATCTTGTCTATCTTTACAGGAATTAATTGCTGTTGCCTGCAGTTAGAATGTGAGATACAAAGATCAGCTAGAGAATTGAACCATGTGAATTAGGTTATGCACAGCGGCTTTTAAAAATTAAACTAACTTAATGTTTTACGTTTTTCACAGAGCTCAATTATGGGTAATGCTTCTAATTTATTCCTTCAGAATCTCTCCCAAATATCACTGGCCCAGCAACAATTAATGAAGTTTGAGAATATTCATACTAATAATGTAAGTATGGAATTATTTTTACTTTGCAATGAGTTCATTTTTTTTTTTTTTTTCTGTAATCAGGCTATTGGTCAGATTGAATTTTTCACTTGTGTAGCCTCTTAATTCAGTTATATCCTGCTGCCACTGGCAAAGGTCTTACTTTCTTTTCTTCTTTTGCAGAAACCAGGCTTGCTTGGAGACCCCCCCGTGATGGTGCTTCAGGCCGCAGTAGGAATAGGGTCAGCACTTCCCTTGAAAACAGAGTTGGGTCATCATGGAGAAGCACATAAAAGTAAATGATGTGTACTTACTGAAAAGTCAGTAAACAGATTTGAGACCTAAAGATAATTTATCTATATTCTACTTTTTATAGGAAGGTCAAATTTGAGTTTTTAGTCATTTAAAATTTCCAGGGCCCTTTTGGCTTTTCTGTTTTTAATATTAGAAAATTATCGATGTTACTGATGGACTTGCTTCTGTGCCAAGATAAGACTGTCCCTGTGGGATAGGCTTTAATGTTTGGTAAAGGTTTGCAGCAACGAGAGGCAATAACATAGGTCCGTTTGAGAGTGATATGCTGTCCACGGGGCTGACAACACATTACGCAGGCATTCATTGAACTTCTGCCTGGATAAGAAAACCTTAGCTTTTATAAAGAAACTAGAGGCCCGGTGCATGAAATTCGTGCACACGGGGGGTGAGGGGGTCCCCTCAGCCCCGCCTGCACCACCGCTGCTGCGCTACCCCTGTGTGAGTGCACTGACCACTAGAGGCATCTCCTGCATTTAGTGCCTGCCCCCTGGTGGTCAGTGAATGTCCACCGGTTATTTTGCCGTCTGGTCGATTTGCATATTAGCCTTTTTATAGAGGATAGCTGGTGTTTGATAATTTAAAGTTTGTTTACTTACTTACTAAAGGCCTGGTGCACGAATTCCTGCACCAGTGGGGTTCCTCTGCCTGGCCTGCGGGATTGGGCTGAAACCGGTTCTCCGATATCCCCCAAGGGGTCCTGGATTGTGAGAGGGCTCAGGCCAGGCCAAAGGACCCCACTGGTACACGATCAGGGCCGTGGAGGGATGCAGGAGGTTGGCCAGCTAGGGAGGGAATGTGGGAGGGCTCCAGGGTATATTTGGCCTGTGTAGCTCAGTCCCAATCAGATGGACCCCAGCAGCAAGCTGACCTACCCGTCAGAGTGTCCCCTGGTGGTCAGTGCGCATCATAGGTCTGGTTCACCATTTGACTATCTGCCCCCTGGTGGTTAGTGCAAGTGATTGAGCGGCCTTAGCATATCATTAGCATATTACCCTTTGATTGGTTGAATGGACAACTGGACACTTAGCATACAGTAGGTCCTCGGGTTATGTTGGAGATCCGTTCCTATGGCACAATATAACGCGATTTTGCCATAAGTCGCAACCCACCTACATAAGCACTTCGTCACTCACATGGAGCACATACACAGCAGTAATGAAGTGAAATATTAAAAAAATAAAATAAAGATAATTTCTTACCTTTACTTGTGGTAAATAAAACACACATGTACATATGTTGAAATGACAGAACTTTTTAAAAAAATAAATAAATGGGAGAGGATGATGTAACCATGAAATAACACACATCGAGTCTGACGTAACCTGAGGACTGCCTGTACTAGGCTTTTATTATATAAGAGATCATTTTTTAAATGTGACCTCCATATTAGAGTTAGAAGTAAAATAATAATGTGTGCAGTTCTTATTAAAAGAAAAACAGGAACATGGTGATTAATGTGATTTCTTACTTGAATATGATTTTGAAAGACACTGGGAGGAAAAAGAGCCACCATTAATAAAATTAAAATATATATGGTTAACCTATATATCTTGTACATTAAACTAGCAAGTCAGATGATGAGATAACTCAATCAATTCTGATTGTTAGTATTGACTAAGCAAAAGGTAAACCATTACATAAGTTTAGAAATTTTTATTGTTTGATGGGATCTGTCCTAAAAAAATAAATTCTGTATGCCTAAAAGCTTATGCAAATGTTTATTAGTTGTGTTGGATTAAATAATAAGCTCTTTTCCTTTGCATGTGCTGTATTAAGAACACTGGAAATTCATTGTTGAAATAAATATATCACTAAGAGATAAAACCATCTCTTAAGTACATAATACTGAATATAATTTAAGAAATGTGTTTAGTGAGTTTGTAAATTATAAATTTGACTTAAAATAGTTATCAAAATTAGCTCTTTTCATTTAATTTTAATCTATAGATTTTTTTTTTTAAAGTGGAATGGTTCAGAATTTGCCTATTAAAACTTCCATTTTTTTTTTCTCCCAGAATTTCTTGTTATGCCCTATAAATAAAAATGTAAAGCTTTCATGTTAAATTTGGTGATCTATTCACAAATATTGATGTGTTTTAAATAGTTGTGTGCTGATGTTTAAAACCAGTTCTCCAGAGTAAAAACATCTTGGTTTGTAGGCTTTGTGATTCCTGTGTGTAGACATTCCAACCATGCTCGATTCAGGTTGCTAGTGTGAAGACATTGAACTGGAGAGCAGGGAAGAGATGAGCTGGTAAAGAAAGCTGACCAAATTTATTGTTGGGGTTAATCTAATTTTACCAATGTTCAAGAGTCAGAGAACTTTTTAAACCGAAGACTGATTATTCCTTCAGATATGCAAGCAGGAAAATTACAATGATTGGGCTTTAAAAAAAAAAAAAAAAAAAAGCACGATACCACTCAAATGCCAAAAAGTGCATCCATTTTGCACTCAGATTTTAAAATACACAGTTAAAACTTAGACTTAAAATATGTAATATTCTTGAGACTATACTGGAAGTTGTTTAGGAAATGCATGATTCCTGTTATAGGTTTTTGTTTTCCTAGGAACCTGCTAATTTACAACTTCTAACCACCCCTTTAGAATGTAACTGTTCTCTAATAGGTTAAACAATGTTTGTTTGCATTTTGCCTATCATTTAACGAAATCAAAAGGACTATTATGAATAAGGCTTGTCTAACCAAAAGTTTTTGGCATTTGTGGTTCCCTACAGCATCTAATCTGATTCCAACTCAAACAACTCTAACAGCTGGAATGGGCTTATTGCCGTTCTTTGCAAATCAGCACATTGCTGGACAAGCTGGGCCAGGGCTTGGGAATACTCAGGAGAAACAGCCAGCCTCCGTGGGAATAGCAGAAGGAAATTTCTCAGGGTCACAGGCTTATCTTCAGAGCTTTCCGAACCTTACTGCTGGAGGTTTGCTGGCAGGACACCATAAGCAACAGCAGAGTCAGCCAAAAAGCACAGAGATGAGTTCAGGGGTAAGAAAACTCTGTGTGTGTGCATACGCATACACACACCTACACAAACAATACAGGTGTATGCTACAAGTACATATGCATTATGTAAATTGTATATGTATATAGATGTTCTTTTAAATTTTATCTTAAATGAGATTATTCTAATTCCATAATATTCTAATTTTTGCTTATTTTACAGGTGATATAATTTATGAAATATCAAAGCAATCTTAACTATTTTTTATTTCAAAGGAAGTTAATGTAAAGTATGAAATATCGATTACAAACTAGATCATTGCTAATATATATCAAAGACATGATGGCTTTTTTTATAGTGTACACTTCTCAAAATAGAAGAAATATTGGACTCTTAAAAGAAACTTACTATAAACAAAAATCCGTCTTTTGATAAGTGATATCAGCTGATGTTTGGGACTATGCTTAATTACTTGCCAGTTTGTTAGTAAATAAAATTATTTTATTTTGTGTAAAATGAGGTTTTTAAGTCTGTTACTGTAAGATAATCTATATATAAATTTTGTACTATAAATTTTTGCCTTTAAAAAGTTTGAGATATGCATGATTTACATAGATATTTGATATTAAAAAATAAAATAAAAATTAAGTTCAAATTTTGTAGTTTTGAAAACCTTATAATGTCATTCATATTTATTAATTATATAGTGATGTTTATAAGACTTTGTAAGTAAATAATAGAGCAGCTCTTTGAGATATACTCATTTTTTCTATTTTAAGTGTATTCTGTAGTTAGTTCAGGTATTATTTTAAAATTTAGAGCAAGAATCAGTTTTATTTTATTAAAGATGTCAAAGTCAGTTATTACACTCTGGTTTGTCTAAAAGAATCTAAACTCTGTTTCAATTGTGGAAGTTTTACCCAGTAAATTTTGTTGTTGTTGTTAATCCTCACCCTAGGATATTTTTCCATTGATTTTTAGGGAGAGTGGAAGAAAGAGGGAAAGACAGAGAGAAACATCAGTGTGAGTGAAACAAATCAATTGGTTGCCTCCTGCACGAATTCCCCCCCCCCCCCCCAATCCCTCACCAGGGCCCAGGAGGAGCCTGCAACCCAGGTACCTACCTTTGATCGGAATTGAACCTGGGACCCTTTGGTCACAGGCCAACACCGTATCCACTAAGCCAGTGGTCAGCAAACTCATTAGTCAGCAGAACCAAATATCAACAGTACAACGATTGAAATTTCTTTTGAGAGCCGAAAACTGACTTCTGCGCATGGGCCACGAAGTTTCAATCGCACTGTACGTGCACACCCACATGTGGTATTTTGTGGAAGAGCCACATTCAAGGGGTCAAAGAGACGCATGTGGCTCAAGAGCCACAGTTTGCAGACCACTGCACTAAGCCAAACTGACTAGTGCCCCAGTCATTTTAATGGTTATAAACTGCTGACATTTATAAATTGGTGGGTAGAATACAATATATTTAATTTTTACTTTATTTGTACTCTAAAATTCCTTTTGGTTTGCAAGTGGTGTAAAACTCAGGCTATAAGGAAAATATGAGAAAATTACCTAGTTGGCTATATTCAAATCTATATAAAAACCCAGCAATTTAGAATGACCAGAATGACTGGTGGCTATGACATGCACTATGGCAGCCGACCTGCCTGATCTGGGCCCTGATTGTCCCCTACCCCTGGCCAGCCTGGACCTTGATTGCCCTCCCTCCCCCCCCCCCCCCCCCCCCCCCGCATGGGACCAAGCCTGCAACCCAGGCATATGCCCTGACCAGAATCTAACCAATGGCCTTTTGTTTCCTAGGTCAGTGCTCAACCTTTGAGCTACACCAGCCAGGCGGTAGTATGGACATTCAAAAAATACTATTTCTTTATAAACTGATGAACCAAAAGATAGATATAGAGACAGTAAAACAACAAGCAGACTGTCAAATTACAGCGGGGAGGGTAGGGAGGTCTGAGGAAGATAAGAGATCAACCGAAGAACTTGTATACATGCATATAAGTACAACCAATGGACACAAAACTCTGGGGAGGGAGGGCATGTATGGGAGGGGAGAGGGCAATGGTATATGTACAGAGATAATTTAATAAAAAAATACTATTTCTTCCATGATATTCTGTTAAGAAGGCTATCTTTCCAGTTGTATTGTTTTTTATTTCTTTTATCAATGTCTTACGCTTTTCAGTGTACAGATCTTTCACCTTCTTAGTTAAATTTATTCCTAAATATTTTATTATTCTTGATGATACTATAAATGAGATTTTTCTCTTTTTTTATATTTTATTGATTTTTACAGAGAGGAAGGGAGAGAGACAGAGAGCTAGAAACGTCAATGAGAAACATCGACCAGCTGCCTCTTGCACATCCCCTACTGGGGATGTGCCCGCAACCAACATATATGCCCCTGACTGGAATCGAACCCAGGACCCCCCAGAGAGGAAGGGCTTTTATTATCTTGATGTCTATTTGTAGCTTTTATTATAAAAGGATGTTCAATTTTTACTAACGTGTTTTCTGTATCTATCGAAACCACTATATGTTTATTTTCCTTTGTTATGTTTAATGTGGTGTATCACATTTATTGATTTGTATATGTTGAACCATTCTTACATCCCAAGGTTAAATTTCAGTGGATTATGGTACATAATTCTTTTAATGGGTTGTTGAATTCAGGTTGCTTATATTTTGTTTAGGGTTGCTAATATTTTGATTAGGATTTTTGCACCTATATTCATCAGGGATATTGGCCTATATTTTTTTCTTGTAGTGTCCTTGTCTAGTTTCAGTATGAAGGCAGTGCTGGCCTAGTAAAATAAATTAGGAAGTGTTTATGGAAGAGTTTCTGAAGCACTGGCATTAATTCTTATTTAAATGTTTGGTAGAATTCACCAATTAAGCCATTTGGTCCTGAGCTTTTCATTGTTGGGAATTTATTTATTTTTAAATTAAGTTAGTTATTTTTATTGTTTAAAGTATTGCATGTTTTCTTTTTCCCCCAAGTGACTTTAATGGTGTTGATTCTACTAATCCATGAACATGGTATGCTCTTCCTGTATCTCTTTTTTCATTGTGCTTGTAGTTTTCAGTGTACAGGTCTTTTACCTCCTTAGTTAAGTTTATTCCTAGGTATCTTAATTCTTTGATGTAATGGTAAATGGGATTTTTTTTTTTTTCCAATTTGTCTTTCTGTGAGTTCATTATTGGTGTATAAAAAAGCCATAGGTTTCTGGGTGTTAATTTTGTATCTTGCTACATTGCCGAATTCATTTATTAAATCTAGTAGATTTTTGATGGAGTCTTTGGTTTTCTATGTACAGTATCATGTCATCTGTGAATAATGACAGTTTTACTTCTTCTTTTCCAATTTGGATGCCTTTTATTTCTTCTTCTTGTCTGGTCGCTATGGCTAGCACTTCTAGTACTATATCAAACAGGAGCGATGAAAGTGGGCATCCTTGTCTTGTTCTTATTCTTAGGGGAAATGAATTTAGTTTTTGATTGGGTATGATGTTGGCTGTACGTTTGTCATATAAGGCTTTTATTATTTTGAGGTATGACCCCTTTATTACTACTTTGCAGAGAGTTTTTATCAATAAAAGGTGTTGGATTTTATCAAATGCTTTTTCTGCATCAATTGATATGATTGTGTGATTTTTGTCTCTCAATTTATGTACGTGATGTATCACATTAATTTGTGGATATTGTACCATCCTTGCATCCCTGGAATAAATCCCACTTGGTCACGGTATATGATCTTCCTAATGTAATGCTAGATCCTGTTGGCTAGAATTTTGTTGAGGATTTTAACATCTATGTTCATCATGCATATTGACCTGTAATTCTCTTTTTTTGTGGTGTCTTTATCTGGTTTTGGAATTAGGGTAATGTTGACTTCATAGAAAGAGCTGGTAAGTCTGTCTTCCTCTTGAATTTTTTTGGAATAGTGTAAGGAGGATGGGTTTCGGTTCTTCTTTGAATGCTTGGCAGAACTCCCTTGTAAAGCCGTCAGGACCAGAGCTTTTGTTTGTCAGAAGATTTTTTATTACTGTTTCAATTTCTTTGGTAGTTATCTGTCTATTCAGGGTTGTTTTTTTTATATATTTTTTTTTATTCCTGATTGAGTTGTGGAAGCTTGTATTTTTCTAAGAATATGTTCTTTTAATCTATGTTGTCCAATTTTTTGGAATAGGGTTGTTTACCTCTTTCTTTATATATATATATATATATATATATATATATATATATATACATATATATATATATATATATATTCTTTTTATTGATTTTTTTTTTCACAGAGAGGAATAGAGAGAGATAGAGAGCTAGAAACATCGATGAGAGAGAAACATCAACCAGCTGCCTCTTGCACACCCCCCACCGGGGATGTGCTCGCAGCCAACGTACATGCCCCTGACCGGAATCGAACCCGGCACCCTTCAGTCCGCAGACCGACGCTCTACCACTGAGCCAAACCGGTTTCAGCTGTTCACCTCTTTCAATTCTGATTTTATTTGGGTCCTCTCTCTTTGCTTCTTGGTTGTTGGGAAATTTTTGATTAATCCTTACTCATTATTGGTCTGTTCAAATTTCTTTGATTCAATCTTTGTAGAATGTTTCCAAAAAATTATTCATTTCTTGTAGTTTATCCAATTTGTTGGCATATGTTTCTTGATAATAGTCCATTATGATCCTTTGTATTTCTGTGGTATCAGCTATAATGTCTCCTCTTTCATTTATAATTTTGAGTCCTTTCTCGTTTACTCTTGCTTAGTCTAGCTAAACGTTAGTCTATTTAGTTTACCCTTTCAGAACATCAATTGATCTTCCATTCTCTTGTCTATTTTATTTATTTCAACTCTAGTAAATAATATTTCCTTATTTTGGTTAATTTTGGGCTTTTTCTAATCTGTTGAGGTGCAAAGGTAGGTTTATTTTTTTCTTCATATAGGCATTTACCACAATACAATTTCATCTTAGAACTGCTTTTGCAGCATCCCATAACTTTTGAGTATGTTGTTTTCCATTTTCATTTGTCTCAAGAGATTTTTTTTAAATTTCCCTTTCATTTCTTCTATAACCCATTACGATTGTGATGTTTAATTTCTACATATCTGTGAATTTTCTTCTTTTTTTTTCTTCTGTTACTGTTATCTACCTTCATACCCCTGTGGTCAGAATAATACTTGATATTGTTTCAGTGTTCTTAAATTTGTTATGACTGGTTTTGTCACTCAACTTTTTTTTTTTAATTCTGCTTTTGGTGTTATTTCCAATAAATAATTGCCAAATTTAATATCATGAAACTTTCCCTCTAAGCTTTAACTTAGAGATTTATTGTTTTAGCTTTTATATTTATGTATGATCCATTTTTATATAGGTCTTAGATAAGGATCTACTTCATTCTTTTACATGTGGATATCCAGGTTTCTCAGTATTTTTGTGAAAAGACTGTCCATTCCCCATTGAATAATCTTGACACTTGTTAAAAATCATTTAACCATGTGCATATGTGGGGATTTATTTCTGGGATCTCTATTCTATTCCATTCACTTGTGTATCTGTTTTTATGCCAGTACCACACTGTTAAGATTACTATAGCTTTGTAGTAAGTTTTGAAACCTCTATTCTTGTTTCTTTTTCACCTTCCAGCAACTTTTGGGCGGTCCCTTAATATTCCCTAAGACACTTAGGATGGGTTTTTCATTTTCTGCAAAAAAGTTGGAATATTAATTGGGATTATTTAAACTGTAGGTTATTTGGGATAGTATTGACACTTTAACAATATTGTTTCCAATTCATGAACATGGGATGTATTTTCATTTATTTGTCATCTTTAATGTTTTTCAACAGTGTTTTGTAGTTTTTCAGTGTACAAGTACTTATCCTTGGTTCAGTTAATTCCTAAGTATTTTATCCTACTGGAATGATTTTCTTTTTGTATTGTCCTTTGTTAGTATATACAAACACAACTGTTATTTGCATGTTGATTTTTATATCCTGAAATTCATTTATTCTAACAGTGTTTGTGTAATATTTTTTTAAATATATATTTTTATTTATTTCAGAGAGGGAAAGAGAGAGAAACATCAATGATGATAGAGAATCATGGATTGGCTGCTCCATGCACACCCCCCACTGGGGACTGAGCCCACAACCTGGGCATGTGCCATTGACCAGAATCGAACCCGGGACTCTTCAGTCCGCAGGCCTACGCTCCACTGAGCCAAACTGGCTAGGACTGTGCAATCTTTTTTATGTTAGCTGCAAAAAGAGATAATTTTACTTTTTTGTTTCTAATTTGGATGCTTTCTGTATCTTTTTCCTGCTTAATTGCTTTGGCTAGAACTTCCAGTTCTGTGTTGTACAGAAGTGGTGAAGGCATCTTCATCTTATTCTTGATCTTTGGTCTTTTCCCATTGAGTATAATATTGGCTTTTTCATACATGACTTTTGTTATGGTAGTTTCCTTCTGTTTCTAATTTGCTGAGGGTATTGGATTCTGTCAGATGCTTTTTCTTCATCAGTGAAGATGATTATGTGTGTGTTTCATGTCTCTTTAGATGTTTGGCAGAATTCTTCAGGGAAGCCCTTTGGTCCATCAGCATTATTCTGGCTAATGTAAGATAGCTGTTAAGAAAGAAGGGGTTTCAGGCCTGGCTCCAACACGTACTAAATGTTCTTTTTAAAAATAATGTTGATAACTTTGTTTCTGGAAGTAAGTTATGAAATTTGTTTTTTCACGTGAAGATAAATTCTCTCCTGGTTCAAAAGAGAAGGTTGTACAAGATGGCTTTTAATTTTCTTTCAGTTCTAAAGTTCAATGGTTCCAGAATAGTGTTTTTTTTAAAACTTACTGAAAAAATAATAGTAGATGAAATGTGATCATTTTAATCAATATCCAGAAATATTTCATAACTTTATATCTTAATAGATAGAAGCATTGGTTTCTACAAGTTTTTACCATACTAGATTCCTTAAAGAATAAGCATTTCTTCATTACTTCTTTTTATTTTCTTATACCTCTTATTAAGTTTTTACTCTTTTGTTTTTGATAAATAGGCTGCCTCTAAGAATCAGACTTCACTCTTGGGAGAACCGCCAAAGGAAATACGGCTTAGTAAAAACCCGTACCTAAACTTGGCAAGTGTGTTGCCCAGTGTGTGTTTATCATGTAAGTGAGAACTCAGTATTAATACTTTGAAGTTTTATTGAATACTTAACATAATGAGTTTTACTTCAGTTTTTAATTTGATAGAAACAAATCATGCCTATTGACCAATTTAAGCTTAAATTATGAACCTGTTCTTTAAAATGAAAGAACAACTAAAATTAACCCTTAAAATGCATTTTACGTTAGGGAAGGCATCTTTTGTAATTTATTAAGAATATAATTAACTTATTGAATTATTGAATCATTAAAAATAATGGAGCAGAAGAATTACTTGGCACAATAATTCTTTACAGATAGAATCGTATTTCTAAAATAGAGGTTTAAACTTCTAAGTAATTTAATGTATCTGGAGTATTAGTAAATACATCAAAAATCTGTGAACTACTCATCGGCAGAAGTGGAATTCTCGTGTACTTTCTTAGAGGATCTCCTCGGGCCTTCAGTTAGTGTAAATTTATAGTTTTAAGAGAAAATCACAACTGTGGTGTATGCTGTACATATATTGGAATATTCATGAGAACATTGGTTGTTAACAGTAAAAACTAGAAAGTGCCCGTAAGGTCCATTGACAGGAATAAATAGTTTGTCTTAAAATGGAATACTACGCAACTTTTCTTATATAATTATGTAGGTAGATAATCATGTAATATTATCTCTAAGACAAATTAAATGGGAAATGTATGTATAAAGTGATTCCATGTTTAGTTAAAGCTATATATTCTTACATGTACATATTTGAATGTGTAAATAGGTAAAGTAAATCTGGGAAAATAAATTTTAAACTGTCACCTCTGGGTAAAAGAATAGGATTGGTTGAGAAGAGATGAAAGATGAATTTTGTTTTTAATGTGCATTATCTTTATTTTATGGAGTATCCTCTTAAATCTAAACATTAATTTCTAATTTTTTAAAAGCCAGAAAAAAATTTAATATGCTTTTAGTATATCTACTATATTTTTAACTGGTCTAAAAATTAATGGTTACAATTGTTACATTAATAAGAATGGTTAATTTACATTTTGTGTGCCTTGTTTTGAAGATTATACACATATATGTATTTTTTTAAATACGTTTTTATTGATTTCAGAGAGGAAGAGGGAGAGAAAAACATCAATGATGAGAAAGAATCACTGATTTGCTGCCTCCTGCAGACTCCCTATTGGGGATCGAACCTGCAACCCGATCATATGCCCTTGACTGGAATCAAACCCGGGACCCTTTTGTCCGCAGGTCAATGCTCTATTCACTGAGCCAACTAGCCAGGGCTAGACATATATGTTTCCACCAAAATTATTTATCATAGGGCAAACTTTTATTTTCAGTTCTTTTAAATGAATAAGACATCATATACTATATATGTGGTTTTTTTTTCTCCTGGGGATAATGTAGAAATATATCCTGGCAAGCTAAAATTGGTGTTCTATTTGAAACTATGTTGAATTAATGAGTTTGTACTCTGTTTAGAATTAGCAATAAAGAAACCTTACCAAAATATATGTATTGATTTTGCCTTTAGCCCCTGCAAGTAAAACCACTCTACAGAAGACTGGAATTGCGAGCAACATTCTGGAGGCAGTCTCTCAGGAAAACGAATCACAACACACCTTGGAAAAGTGCATTGCTTATTCTCAGCCTTTTGGTGATTACGCACAGGTAAATGAGTCTCAGAGTTTGATGATATGTAGAAAAATTGGTTCAACTACATATTGAGTTCACTGAATGTGAAATTGTGATTCCTACCCATACTATAAGAGGAAATTAAAATTGCGCTGATCTACACAATATTTTTTTGCTCGTCATTTGGAATTTTAGGACATATTCAAGAAATTGCTAAGTATCATTTTGCACTATTGACCTGACATTGTTTACAGTATTGGTTGGCAAACTACAGAACAACTCCAGCCCACCGTTTGTTTGGTAAATAAAGTTTTAGTGGAATACAGCCGGATTCATTCATTTAAACCTTATCTGCAATGCTGTGGTGCCACCGCAGAGAGTTGAGTAGTTCCAATAGAGACTTGATGGCTGCAGGGTTAAATTTTTGCAATGTAGCTCTTTAGAGAAAAATGCTGCTGACCTCTGACTAACCCCAGTTTAGACCTGACTAAGAACCCCAAGGAAAGGCCTCTGTTGTTCACCATTGCTCATTTATGTAGAAACATGATAATTGCAGGTACTAGACGGCTAACTTTTAAACCAAACAGTCAATAACAGGGAAAGGATTATATTCGTTAGATGTGCCATACCATTACCTACTTATGTCAGTTTTGCTTTGCCTTTTCCCCCTTCAGTTTAATCTTAGTGGCTTACCCTGAGAGTGGATGTCATGTTAGCAGTAGATGACATGTAATCATGAGCGTCTACGATGATTCCTTCGCATTGCCCAGGGCAGTCAGCTTCTTCCCGCCTCTGTCTTCTCTGCGGGAGCAGCGCTTCCACTTGGATTCCTGGGAGCAACTCTGTGTGTGTCTCCCCGTCTCTGATAAACTTAGAAAAGGCAACCAGTGGGAATTCCTTTAGAACAATTGATGCCTACATATGCTTTTATGATAGGGTACCAGAAACACAGGTCAATTAGGCTGTAAAAATGGTGCAGCTGGATATTAGCAAAATGTATAATCAGGGTCTCTTGTGTACCCATGGAAAAGAGGGAGAAACCTCGGTTGGAAGATGATGTAATTAGGTGGCAGCATACTTATATTTCAGAGACAACAGTCATGAATGGACACAACCTGGAAGGCATTCTATGTTTCATAAAACTTCACCTTTGTTCCTTTATTAACATTTTAAATAACGTCAAGGGTAAGGACATTGGGTGTATGCTGGTTATATTTCTAGGTGACAAAAGCAAAGGAAATAATCAGGGATGTATAAAATCTTTTATGAATAGTTTACAGTTAATAATGGCGGATTTTGTAATAAAACACGATAATTTGAAGAGAAACATCAAAAGTGCTTTATTCAGCCAAAACTGGTTTGGCTCAATGGATAGAGCATCGGCCTGCAGACCGAAAGGTCCCAGGTTTGATTCTGATCAAGGGCATGTACCTTGGTTGCGGTCACATCCCCAGTAGGGGGTGTGCAAGAGGCAGCTGATCGATGATTCTCTCTCATCGATGTTTCTAGCTATCTATCCCTCTCTCTTCCTCTCTGTAAAAAATCAATAAAATATATATTTTTTTAAAAAGTGCTTTATTCAAAGTAATGTCCACCACTAGCTACACATTTCCCCATCTTTCAGATAATTTGTAGAAACCGTCCCAATAGAACTTTTCTTGTTTTGAGGCAAACCATTTAGAGACCCAACTTGCCTCTTCTTCGTATGTTTTGAAGGGCTGCTCAGAAAGTGTGTGTGCCATCGATCGGAACAAGTGGTAATCTGAAGGAGCAAGGTCTGGTGAATACTGTGGGTGGGTTAATACTTCCCAGGCAAGATCATTTAACGTATCTTTGACTGGTTTTGATGTGTGTGATCATGAAGCAAAATTACTTTCCTGGCACATTCTGGTTGTTTCATGATCAAAGTGTGGTTCAAATTGATTATTTGTTGTCAGTAGTGATCAGTATTAACAGTTTCACCTGGTTTTAGAAGCTGGTAATACACCACACCTTCCTGATCCCACCAAATGCAGAGCATTGTCTTCTTTCCGAAGTGATTTGGCCTTGCAATTGATATTGATGGTTGACCTGGATCAACCCATGATTTTGTGCATTTGGGATTCTCAAAATAAATCCACTTTTCATCGCTAGTCACAATTCGATGCAAAAAAAGACTTTCTTTCGTGCCCTTGAAGCAACATTTTATTGATGACTTTTTGGTTTTCTATTTGTCTTCCGTTCATTTGACGTGACACCCATTTTCCTTCCTTTAAAATCTTTCCCATTGCTTGTAAAAGATTGGAAATTGTTTGCTGAGCAACGTTTAATTTTCTGCAAGTTGTTTTTGAGTTTGACACACATCTTCATCCAATAATGCTTGTAACTGTTGGACTTCAAACTTTTTTGGTTGCCCTGCATGTTCTTTGTCTTTCAAATCAAAATCATCACTTTTAAAGCATTTAAAGCAGCGTTTACAGGTATCTTGAGATGGAGCATGTTCAGCAATAAGCTTTTTGAAGTATATGATAACTTTTTCTTCAAAATAAAGTAATGAATTAAAACTTCCCTCGAATGCTTTTTTTTTTTTTTGGCATGGAATTCAACATTTTTAAGGATAAAAATATCTATGATGTTAACGCCTTCAGCAAATTTGACATATGAAGTTTTGAAGCTTGTTGTCAATACAACAAAATAGCATACATATAAAATAAAATATGTGTAACTCTATCTGTTGAAAAAAATCCACATTATTAACCAATACACCTAGTATAGCTGTGAAAATGAGAAATAACCTAAATTTCCAATAATTTATAGGACTGAGAATATAAATTATGTCATATTTATACCAGGAAACACAATGCAAATATTAAAAATTATATAAAGCAATATGTAAACACATTATAAAACATTTTATCATCAATTGTTAATTTAAAAAATTTATAAACTATAGTCCCTGTGCAAATTTATTTGTTTTTTTATAAGAAACAAAATTTATTTTTATAAACAGGAAGAAGCACAATAATTATTTTAAGATGTAGTTAAATGTATGATTTAAGTTTTAAAAATCATTTTTTCTATTTACCTTTTATTTCACTTTTGAAGTTGGTCTTGATTTTCTCATTAATAGTTTATTAGATTACTGTGGTTTGTGAATATTTCTATCCACAGAAAGCCACTTGGCCATTTACACGTGGAGACGTTCTGTGATAAAGATGCCTCTTGCATTCCCGCCCTCTTCCTGCCTCTCCCTCGCTTTCGCAGAGGTCCTGTGAGGGTGGGTCCTCCCTGGATTCCCTGTTCCCTGGGGCAGTCCCCGCTGTTTCCTCAGGCTTGTTCACTAAGTGAGATTTCTTCCTTCTCTCTCATGTTCTTTCGTACTCATAAAGTAAACTTAATTAAATGTTACTAATGGAATAAAGTAACTAGTAAAAGGTGGTCATGTTTTAGGAATTCTTCTGTTTCCCTTGCTGAAATGGAGGAAGAGGTCTAAGGGAAGGAAACCAACATTTTTGCTTTGTTTTGAACACTTGCTACATGCTCTGCAATCAAAGCATTAAGTATTCCTAACCATCTTGTGCGATTTAAGTGACCGCCTGCATAATACAAGTGGAGAGAGCATAAAGGGATAAATAATCTTTCCAACTTCATGCAGTTAGGAAGTGACTTCTCTGATTCCAAAGTCCACACTATATCCATTATACCAGGGAGAAGTTTCTGCAGGCACAGGAGTGGTGTTTCATAGAGACTGGTTGGTTGGTTGGTTGGTTGGTTGGTGGTTGCGCGCTGGCCGCTGTGTGTAAGCATTAGGAGAAAAGGCTATGTCACAGATGAAAAGGAAGACCTGTGAAGAGATGCAGCTCCTCCCCAACACAAAGGGGACAATTTGGTGTTTGAGTTTAGAAAGTTATCTCCTTACAACAAAACCAGCAGTCTACAGAGGAAGATCACACAGTCCACAGTCTCTATGATGTATCATCTAAAGTGCCCAGGAAACAAAAATGACTAGATAACTGAAAAAACGGGATGTGACCTGCCATTAAGAAGAAAGGACTTTCCAATAAAACTATCACATTTAAACATCCTAGTGGGCATCCCAGTATTGGTGAAGTTGTTTTGTCCTATTATTCCTCCTGCAGATAATTGTTATTAAATTGTATTCAATATGAAAGAAAAACAACTCTTGGTAGGCTCTGGAGAGTGACCAACAGCAGGCAGAAATGGAAGGGGGGTCCATCCTGGAAAGAGGGAACCGGCACTGATCCTCCCCCCCCCCCCCCCCAATTAATGCAGAAAGGTGCAGTCTTGCCAGCTGAAGACTGAGAAGTGAGGAAGTAGTAATTTCGGGAAAAGGGGTTTCATAAGAAGGAGCCTCAAAATCTCTGTGTGAACTCAGCCCAAGTGCACTTGAGTGACTGGAACTGTGTTTGTGTGAGGGAGACTCCAGAGGACCTGGTGGAAATCACAGATAGGAAAGAAGACCCGTGAAGAGATACAACTCCTCCCCAGCACAAAGGGGACAATTTGTGTTTGAGTTCAGAAAAGTTAACTCCTTACAACAAAAACCAGCAGTCTACAGAGGAAGATCACACAGTCCACAGTCTCTCTATAGTCTACAGTGCTCAGTAAACAAAAATGACTAGATAACTGAAAAAACAATGTGACCTGCCATTAAGAAGAAAGGACTCCAAGGAGATCCAGATGTTGGTCCTAGTAAACAGTCATATCTAAAACAGCTACTGTAAATATGTTTAAGAACTTTAAAAGAATAAGGCCAAATGAACAGGTAAGGAATTTCAGGAAAAACATACATTCTAAAAAAGAAGTATAGAGTCTCTAGAATTGAAACATACGGTATCTGGTAAAAAAAAAAAAAATACACTGGTTGGTCTCAGAGGAAGATTAGAGAAAGGAGGGGGAAATGTTCCATTAACATAGACAAATCAAAAGAAATAATTTGGTATGAAGAACAGAAAGAGGTTGATAAAAACAAAACTGGTACATCTACACAATGGAATACTATTCTGCAGTAAAAAAAAAAGAAGAAGGAGGAGGAG